GATTTCTTTGGTTGGCTGCAGTGGGATTCGTTTGTTCGTGTGTGAGGGAGTTGTTGTTGGATTAAGGTAGCTATATTGAATCACATGCTGTTGGTGGGTTCATGTTGTTGTATTGTTGGGCTGTGTATGTGATAAAGGGGAGCCATACTAGAGTGAGATTACCTGGAGATCTTGTGCTGCGTGGTGGAATAGTGGGTGGTGAGCCAGGGGGATGAGGGGTTGGGGTTGGGGATGGGGACAGTTTGCCTACTTCTTCCTTCCTTGATTTAAGCATGGTCTTTGTGAACCTTAGTTTTCCTTAGTTTGTTTTGGAGGAAAGGGAATGCTGTGGTGGGAGTGTTTTCGATTATGTCTCTCTCCAAGTACACCCAATGTTATCTTCTAGGATGTATGGGATTATGCGGCACACTTGGTTGGCAATGTAGTACAGTGGTACCTCGGGTTACATACGCTTCAGGTTACAGACTCCGCTAACCCAGAAATAGTACCTCAGGTTAAGAACTTTGCTTCAGGATGAGAACAGAAATCACGCAGTGGTTGTGCGGTGGCTATGGGAGGCCCCATTAGCTAAAGTGGTGCTTCAGGTTAAGAACAGTTTCAGAACGGACCTCCAGAACGAATTAAGTTCTTAACCCGAGGTACCACTGTATATGCCTATAGATATATAGTATTATTATTATTATTATTAATAATAATAATAATTCAGAAAAGAAGAGAAGAAAAACCATAATAGTAGGTAAATAGAAAAAAGGGGGAAGGAGGGGATGAAGAAGTAGATACTAAATTATCATCATCATAATTTTTTTTAATTAAAAAAATTCAAAATTCAAAATGTTGAGTGATGAAAAGGAAAAAGAAAAAGAAGGAAAGTAAAATAAGAGTTAGTGATACTGGTGATGAGAAGGCAGGAGGTTTCTTTTTTTTAAAAAAAAGATGCGCGATCGCACACACACTTATTTAATGATTTTTTTAAAAAAAAATAAGATAATAAATGGTTAATAATAAAAAACCGAGTAAGAAATAAGTGAATAAAAAATGGATGAATACTGAATGATAATGGTATTAATATAAAAGGGGGGTTGTGTAAGTAACTAATGAAGAAGGGGGGAAGAAAAAAAGGGAAACAAGAAAAAGGGGCTGTGGGGCCCCCGGGGGCTTGGGTCCCTAGGTCAGTCCCAGAAAATGGCCTCCAATGGTTCAGGCCTCCTACATGGGCACTGCCATTACAGTTCTTCAATGATTTAAAAAATATTGATAATAAATGAACTGAAAATAAAAATAAGAAAGGTTTTTGCTGTGCCTGTCTGCTCCTCTCCGCTGGCAGGGGAGCACCTGCATTGCAATTGTTTTTCCCCAAAGTGGTCACCGGCGCAGTTCCCCACTGGGCCCTGGTCTACTCTTTTGCGCCAGCCGCCGGGGATATTGGCTTGGGGTCGGCCCTGGGGTGTTCCCTCGCAGCCTCCCTGATATTCCCGGTCCCCTCCTACTGTTCTCCCTTGGCGATGGTGGTGGTGGTGGTGGGAGTGGTAAGCTGGTGCACGGGGGGGGGGGCTCTGCTTTGTTATTTGTTTAGCTCCCGAGACTTGTGGGCCCCGGAGCATCTTTGGGATCCAGATCATGGGGGGGGGGTGGTCTCCATGCAGCCTCTTCGCTTGTCATTTGGGGTTCTCTAGGCTCCCCTTTGATCATGGTGGTGGCAGTGATGGCGGTGCAGGGACCAGCCGGGCAGCTTGGTTGGTGGTGGTGGACCCTAGAAGTTCAGTGTGGCCGTGGCGCTCGCCATCTTGCCTCGCTGGAAGTCCCCCCCAAAGATCAGAGTTTTGCAGCGGACTGGGAAGTGTGGGATAACACTTACTTTGATGCAACACCCTAACCTCTCCACAAACGAATGGGAACGGGTACTCACTAAATAGCCAATAGGGTCAAATCCCCCTGCAAACAAATCAGAATGAATGCTCAATAAACAGTCACCTGGAAATGCCCCTAGTCACTTGATGCGCTGAAGTGGCTGTTGCTTTATTCTTAATGATTGTTAAATGGGTGTGATTTTTGACAGGACTTTGGGATGCAAAGTGGGGCAGGTAAACCTCTGTTTCTCTGCCATGGTTGGACCAAAATTGGGCCCCCCAGTATGGCTATTAGTCACAGAAGCTAAGTTCCCACTGGTGCTTCAGGAGCATGTTTTGTTACTGTGTTGAACAATCGAACTGTCTTTGACCTTAGGGCTTCCCAAACTCCTGAGCCTCAAATTCTTGAATGGATCCCAGGGGTCAGAGAACCTCTTGGAACAGCAGACAGTGCTAAGGGCAGTTGGGGACTACAGAATGAAGATTGTAAGCCTCTCCTAGCTGGTTTCCAGTGTGGGATACTCACCCATTTCCCCAGATGTTTAAGGAATCAATGCATTGTGCCTGAATTGCTCATTTGTCCTGTCAGAGTGAGAGTGCATCGTTCCATGCGAGGCATTTTAGGGTGGAATTGCCATATTTTTTTGCTTGCTTCTTACAGAGCATGTGATGCCCTCAGCCAACTGTGGTCATCCTGTATTTTTCTGTGGTTCTTCTGTCTTTTCTCAGGGCACAGAAAGTCCAGCTTTCTTCAGAAGAGCGGAAGAGCAGTGCAGTCTCCACAGATGTAGAGTCCTCTGCTGTTAGCCTTCCTTTCCCATCCTTAAAGGGTGGGATCTGGGCAGTAAGGTATTAATTTGGAAAGTTAACCTATCATTGCCCACCACAAAGCTGTCATCAGAACTGACTCACTGAGTCTCATGAAGATGCTGTACTAGTGTCCCACAGGTAGGCTGCTCTTATTTATTTAATTTATAATCCACCTTTTTTCTCCAAGTTCCTCAAGGTGGTGTAAATTATTCTTCCCCTTTCCTCAGTTAATCCCCACAACAACCCTATGAGGTATGTTAGGCTGAGAGGCATTGACGGTCCCAAGGGGCTCCATGGCCAAGTGGGGATTTGAACCCTGGTCTTCTAGGTACTAGTCCAATACTCTAACAAACAACCAGAAGGTGGTACCTGACCAGGAAATTCTGGTGGGCTCAATTTCTGGGCAATTCTGTATTATCACACAGAGATTTGTGAGTTTTTAAGCCATGCACTTTCCAGCATGGTTTGGTGAGTCTTAAAATGAAAATAAGAACTATTTTAGACACTATTATTACCTTGGCGTGAAAGTAAAATTATTCTAGAAAGGAATTTCTGTTCAGAAGAGAAGAAATAATAACTTTGCTAAGGTTTTAGAACAACTGCTGCTGCTGCTTCAGCTATCTAGTTTTTCTGTTGTTGCTGGCACCAACTTTCCCTCCTGTTTTCTGTAATTCCAGTCAGTTAAGACTCATTCGTTCATTCCCTGCAGATTGTGAAGCCATATTATTGATGGCTTTCGGTTCTCGAATTGCATAGACACCTCTATCAACTGGCCTGTTTTCAAGCAGATTGAGCTTTGCAGCTGGAAATTAGCATATGTAAATGCATAAATGATAACACAGCATTTGCACCTTTGCACCGGTGGGAAGTGGTGGGAAGCCGTTAAGATCCAGCTCTCCTGTGATTTCAGTGAAGCCAACTAACTGTAGAGGTGATTCAATCTAGCAAACTCACTCCATGATAAAATGAGAAACAGGATCAACTGGGGCAGAGGAGATGTGAGGATTTTGCTGGACATATCCTCCCAGCAGCCCTGGCCAACAAGGCCAGTGGTCAGAGTGACCGAGGGAGATGCATTCCAGCAACATCTGGAACGCCACAGGTCCAGACATCCTTATCCTGAAAGCCTCCACGGACTTGCCTCCTTATCTCTCCACTCATATCCTGAAGCATCCCTTCCTGTGATCTTTGTTCATTTAGTTCCACCCCCCGCCAAAAGTATGAAGAGCCCTGCTCTTGCCAAATATTTCTCTGCATTTGCTGTCCTGCTTCCTCTGCCTTCCAGAAGCCTGCTGCAAGACCAGCTCTCATCCTCCCCTCAAGTCCTTCCTCAAAACCCACTTTTTTCTATGAAGCCTTTGGGAAGATCATCTAGTCCAGGCTCCATATCCTGCTTGCTGCAGGGGAATGGAAAGACCTTTCTTTATGGCAAGGACTGCATTCCCTTGTTGGTGGTGGTGGGGAATCTGTCAGAGACAGCATGTCAGCAGAGGCGGATTTTAGGGAGGTGAGACTGGGTCTCCTGCAATGGGCACCAGGCCAAGAGGGCACCAAAGAGGGTGCTGCAACAGTGACGAACAATAGAAGGTGGAGGGTGGGGCACAGAGTTTAGGCGTTCTATAGGGTGCAGCTGAAAGTCCATCACTGATGCCGGTGGAGGTACTCAGCCTTTACTGTCTCTGGCCACATCCATAGGTAAAGGGAAAGGGACCCCTGACCATTAGGTCCAGTCGTTACCGACTCTGGGGTTGTGGCACTCATCTCGCTTTATTGGCCAAAAGAGCTGGCGTACAGCTTCTGGGTCATGTGGCCAGCATGACTAAGCCTCTTCTGGCGAACCAGAGCAGCACACGGAAACGCCGTTTACCTTCCCGCCAGAGCGCTTTGATGTGCTTTCGAACTGCTAGGTTGGCAGGAGCAGGGACCGAGCAACGGGAGCTCACCCTGCCGCGGGGGTTCGAACTGCCAACCTTCTGATTGGCAAGTCTTAGGCTCTGTGGTTTAACCCACAGCGCCACCTGCGTCCCACAGGCCACATCCATACCATATGTTTAAAGCACTGTGATATCACTTTAAATAGTCATGGCTCCCCCCAAAAGAATCCTGGGAGAAGTAGTTTGTTAAGGGTACCAAGATTTATTAGGAGACCCTCATTACCCTTCCAGAGCTACAGTTCTCAGAGTGGTTTAAAAACCAATCCCTCTTCACAGGAAACTCTGGGAACTGTCGCTCTGGGAGAGGAGGTTCCTGACAATTCTCAGCACCCATAACCAACTGCTGCTCCCAGGATTCTTGGGTATTTGGACCAGCCTGCCCTGCTGTAAGTAAGCTGAAGAACATATAGCTCATGATGGATGGGTCAGTCAGTAGAACATGAGACTCTTAATCTCAGGGTCATGGGTTCAAGCACTACGTTGGGCAAAAGATTCCTGCATTGCAGGGGGTTGGACTAGATGACCCCCATGGTCCCTTCCAACTCTACAGTCCCATGATTCTATGATATAGTTGCGACAATGGCATATTCTTCCCTTGATTACTCTTCCTGCCTCCACTTCCCTCTAGAGTTTCCTCTGTGTCTTATGTCTAGATTCTTAAAGCAACTTCCTTTTACCAGTGCCTTGCTGCCTGAGAGGTCAAGCCAAAGTGCCTGACATCATTTGTAACATCAGTGACATTGATGATTGACCCGCCTGCCCATCAAATTTGGCCTGCTTGGAAGATCTTGATAAGGAACTGACTCAGTGGAATCAGAAAGGTTCCTTGCCCTGATTGAGAAGCAGCACCTTGTGGCAAGGAGCTGCCAAACCTGTTCATGTGCAACAGGTGGCGCTATGTAATCATGGTTTTTTTCAGGTGGAACTCCCCTGAACTCAGCTCAGCACCTCTCAGGTGGGTGCCATTGCCATTCTAAGAGAACAAGGGAGGCATTCATGGTATGTTCTGGCACCTCTTTTTCTAGAATAATAGCAGTGTATATTATAAAATTCATGAAATGCTAACAACAGCAACAACAATCAATTAGTTTTTCAGAAATAAAATTTTTATTTGTAGGTATCGTAATAGCAACTGAAGGAGGATAAAGTGGAAATGCTGATTTAATATTCCTTTTCTTCCCACTCACAAATATGACAAACAAAATCAGAATGTACTGAGCGTTTTCTTTTTCTTTCTTTCTTTTTTAGTAAAAGTGGAATATGGAATAATGATTGAGTGTTTTAATGTAACTTTATGTTTAACTATGATCTTTCAACAACATTGTTAAACAAAGCGGATAAAAGTTAAGGTTTAAAATAGGTATGGAAACCAATACCAAATCCATAATATCACTACACCAGCTTTATATATGTCAATCAATGGGGGAAAGCTGAACAACAAAATGATGGGGGGGGGGGGATGCCTCCTCGCCTGCCCCCCCCCGCTAATTAGCAGCTATATGTAAGGGCTCCATCTAGTGGTAATTTTTTTTGTTACAACTCCATTTTCAAACACAGCCCTATTTTTTGCCCAAATCAGAAAGTCCCTATTGAGGTGACATCCCCACACATTCAGCCAAGCACCTTAACACATCATGTCTAGGCATGTTTTCTGGCTGTGGGCATACAACTATTCAGACTTTTGGCTGACCATACGGAAGTTAGGAGGAGGGATAGCAACCGTGACCTCATCTCCATGGGACGTAAGGAAATGGCTGTGGTATTAGCAATGGTTTTTTGAACCAAAACCAAGCAACAGGCTACAAATTTAAGTGGGAGAATGGCTGAGGAAGGAGGTTGTTTAGCCCTTCAGTCCGTTTCAGTCCAAGGAGGTTGTTTCCCCCTTCAGTCCATTTTTCCTGCTCAAAATCACCCCTCCCTTTTGCTTTTCTCCCACAGGGAAAAAGGTACTGGTAGGAAACACTAGAACTTATGGGTATCCAATGAAGCTGGACTTTGGAAGCTTCAGAGCAGTTAAAAGGAAAGACTTATTTTCACACAGTGCATAGGTAAACTATGGAATTCACTGCCGCAGGACGGCTTCAAAGAAAGAAGTGGACAAATTCATGGAGAATAAGGTAGTAACCATGATATCTATGCTGTGTCTCCATGGTCAGCGGCAGCAATGCTTCTGAATACAGTGGTACCTTGGGTTACATACGCTTCAGGTTACAGACACTTCAGGTTACAGACTCTGCTAACCCAGAAATAGTACCTCGGGTTAAGAACTTTGCTTCAGGAGGAGAACAGAAATCGTGCTCTGGCTGCGCAGCAGCAGCAGGAGGCCCCATTAGCTAAAGTGGTGCTTCAGGTTAAGAACAGTTTCAGGTTAAGAAAGGGACCTCTGGAATGAATTAAGTTCTTAACCCGAGGTACCACTGTAATACCATTTACTGGCAAACTCTGGAAGAGAGACTACAGTGGTACCTCGGGTTACAGACGCTTCAGGTTACAGACTCCGCTAACCCAGAAATAGTACCTCGGCTTAAGAACTTTACCTCAGGATAAGAACAGAAATCGTGTGGTGGCGGCCCAGCAGCAGGAGGCCCCATTAGCTAAAGTGGTGCTTCAGGTTAAGAACAGTTTCAGGTTAAGAATGGACCTTCAGAACGAATTAAGTTCGTAACCCGAGGTACCACTGTATGCTCTTGTGCTCTGGTCCTGCTTGCGAGTTTACCACAGGCATCTGTTTGGCCACTGTGAGAACAGGATGCTGGACTAGATGGGTCGCTGGCCTGGTCGCTGGCCTGACCCAGCAGGCTCTTTTATATTCCTAATAGTAATAATTCTAGTATAGAATAAATGCCATAGACTTGTTCTCTGTTTTAAAACTCTGCATGTGAGAGTGAGTGAGAGAAACAGGCAGAGAGAGAGAGAGAGAGAGAGAGAGAGAGAGAGAGAGAGAGAGAGAGAGAGAGGAGCATAGAAATCTATTGCACATGGTGATAGTTCCAACACACAAGTTCTTGGACTTGAGTGGGTGACCTTTGAGAGGCATGTGCTGGCTGGGCGGCCACTGCTAAGATTAGGTTTCTCATCTGTCAGAGCAGGCCTGGCCTCTGCGAAGGAAAGGAGCGTTTGTGTGTGACTTGCTGTAGCGTCGGAGGCGCAATTCCAAAAATCACACATCCAGTTATGAGACACTTTGGCTTTCAGGCCTGCCATGTAATGCTATTTCATAATCCTCCCTGGCCTGACTTGAACCAATGATGAGAGCAGGGGGAGCTGAGATGGCTTTGGTGAACTGGGTTGTCGGTCACCACCAGGCCTTCTCAGCGGACACCACCTTCTTTGCTGCTGTGCTGCGTCTTCTTCACACGAGCAGAGGCTGCTGATGGAGTGGCAAGCCCAGTAAATCTGGGTCTGCACCTGAGCAGTCTGTGAATTCAGCTCTGCACCAGAAATCCAGACTCCTTCAATGATTAGTATCTTGGCATTGCTCTGTTGTGTGATGAGTCCCAAGGCACTGTCAAGCTCAGGCTTAGATTGGTAGGTGTGCGGAATGGGGGAAAGAGGATGGAACGGAACGATATGGGGTTGTTGAGATCAGGGACCAGAGGTTGGAGGAGGTAGGTACTCCCCTTTTCCAGAATTTGGGAACAGAGGTTGGAGGAGGTAGGTACTCCCCTTTTCCAGAATTTGGCAGCTCTGGATGGGGAGGTAGGAATCCCACCTCTCCCATCCCCTCCCAAGGAGAAAAAAAATCAGTGGCCTCCAGGGAAGGTATTGACTGGGAATGGAAGAACCAGAGTCAGTAGAAGGCACAGCCATGACCAGATACCAATTCCACCACTGGGAACAGACCCATCCTCTCAGATGCAGTGTGCATGCACACACTCCACATTCCTGCAAGTCACAAGAGCCTCACAAGTAAGCTCACCACACCTTTAAAAACTTGGCAAGTAGGTGGCAACCCACTGGGACAGCTCCATTGCTTCCATGCACCCTGATCTCGAATTCCTTAAGCTCAGGGTGCTGTATCTAGCTTGGCTAGTTTATCCTTTCTCATCATTCACTTTGTGTGGACACATCAGCAAGAGGTAGAATCTTAATGGCAGTCTGGTGGGATATGAAACGGGATCAGATTGACAAGGACCATTACTCAGATATTTCATCCACCTCAGTACATACTGATTTTGTTTTTTAATTTAAAAAAGTGCTTTTTTACATACAAAATGGTAGCCTCCATCCAAAACTGAATCTTCTGAGGGCTGCCATTGTATTAAACAGTGATCAAATATCTACAGGAGATATGCACATTTTCACAGAAGGGGTGGGTTCTTCCTTTCTGGTATCATTTTCCTTGAGTGGCAAAGTGTTAAAAACCCTTCCAAACACAGGGCAGTGACTGAGCAGGCTTGTTGAAAACATAAAGGCACAAGAGTTCCATGCAACCATTTTTCCAAACCTGAACCACTAAACACTGTGTAGGCTTGTTTTTTCTTTCTTTATCATAAGAATGTCTTGAAAAACAAAATAGAAACCAAAGATGCCTTATTTGAGCATCCCCTCTAACTCAACACAGGGATGATAAGAGAAAAATGGGAGGAAAGATGACATGGGCTAAACGGAGGGTGGAAAATCTACATTTGTTTCAACTCCACTCATTTATGTCAGCTTCCCCCAACCTCCTGAACCTATGTTCTCCAAATTCCAATTCAGGACAGATAAAAGATAGTACAATGCATAGTTAAACTATGAAACTTGCTCCCACAGGAAGCAGTGATGGCCACCAACCTGGATAGCTTTAAAAGAAGATTTGACAAATTCATGGAGAATAAGGCTATCACTGACTACTAGTTATGATGGCTATGCTCAGTTGGAGGTATTAAATGTTTTGAAATCCAGTTGCTAGAAGCCACAGGAAAGCAGAGTGCTCGAATCCTGCTTCCGGCTTTCCCACAGGCATCTGGTTGGTCACTGTGAGAAGGTGTTGCTGGACTAAATGGACCACTGGTCTGATCCAGCAGGCTCTTCTTAAATGTTTTGAACAGCAGCTCAGCCCTCGTCAGTGCTGTCAATGGTCAGGCGGCTGATAGGAATTATTGTCCAAAATATTTGGACACTTCCCAGGTCAGGAGGAATAGTTTGCAGGGGTTCTGGGAGGTGGCTCTGAGCACAAAGTGTAAAGGGTGGAGTCATTTCAAGGAGACATTTGGTCAGGCGAGGGTGATGAAAACGGAGAGACAAAGATCACATGCAGCTGTAGGCATGGGAGAAAAATCAATTTGGGTAACATTTTAATTTGGGTCACATATTGGATCCACCTTTCCAAACCAACATGCAGAATGAAATGTAGCTATCTTTAAAAATTCTCATCTCTCCAAATTTTGAGATGCAGCTCTCCAGAGGAAAGAAAGCATACAAACAGAAGCACACTGGAAGAGCCCTGACGTTGGAGGAGACCAAAAGCCCATCTAGGTCAGCATCCTGTTCTCAAAGAGGCTGATCAGGTGCTCATGGGTAGCCACTCAAAATACATGAAATTGCATCATTAAGAGAAATTGTAAATATATATTAGAAGAAATTGCATTAAAAATGAGTATACTAGAAGGTGTGCACACAAAAATGGTGATGAATTCTTTTTTAAAAAAAAAAAAGGACTGGAGAAATGAGGAACAGAGAGAGACCAAAATGAATAGATTCATCTATCCCCATATGCAGGGATGTATGAATGAAGAGAAAAGCAGGGGCAAAACCATAAGGGGGTTTAAAGACCAGGACAGGGAGCTGACTATGTCATAGCATCATAGAATTGTAGAGTTGTAAGGGACCCTGAGGATCACCTAGTCCAACTCTCTGCAATGCAGGAATATGCAGCTCTTCCATATGTCATGTTATAGCAATACCTTTTTAAAAATGATTCCTGTGTGTGGAATAAAAATCAAGCCTTCCCATTGTGATTAAGATAAAGGTCTGTTCAAGACTCTGTTTATTAAGACAAAGCTGTTGTGTTGGAGAAGACCACCCTGTAATCATCCATACTCTCTTCTGGGGTGATCAATAAGGTGCTCTGCTTGCATCAGGGGTGCCAATTTCAACAAAATAAAATATTGTGGGGGCCCAGATAAGCCCCTCCCCACATAACTGATCACATGAAGCAGGGCACACACCATTTGAATGGGGATGCCAATCAACTTTGTGGGGGCCCAGCCCCCTCTAAGCTTTTATTGTAGGGGCTGAAGCCCCCATGGCCTCTAGGAGTTGGTTTCTATGGCTTGCATACAGAGCTTAACAGCTTTTATATGGATGACAAAGTTGTCACAACTTGGTTGATAATAGACCCGAAGAAACTAGCTTTGCAGGAAAATGGAATAGCTGCACAAAACCTCAAACGTTCCATACTACCTTCACCCTTTCCCCTACCTTCATGATGACCTCCTCTCTCCATCTCTTTCCACTCTTAAGAGAGATAGATGTCCTTCAGATAGAAACAGGTTCAGACCTTTTATAGTCCAAGGCCCTTGCAGACCCCAGGCCCATACATCCTGCTTCGATTTGTGAAAGATATCCCTTCATTTATTCTGTGTTTCTGATATAACCCTCTATGGAAAGCAGCAGTAGGTTCCTGCTTCAATACACCTTCCCACACTTCATTCCTTATCCCCTCTGTTTTGACTAAGAGAAACAAGGTGTGTGCAGCCTCGAGACTGCTTTGCACATGACAGACTCAACCAGAAGACGCACCTCTTACACCATGACCACTTTGTGTAATGCAGTCTTAAAACCTCTGTCAGCTTGTATAAAACATTTCAGCATCCTGCACATTCTCCACAAATACACAATGTGACAGAAATCGGGTCCTCCTTTAAAGAGGGCTCGTATTGCGGTGAGACCTGGAAACCAACACCCTGTATTGTGGGTGGGTACGATTGGTCAGCCACAACACCCAATTGGTAGGTACCTCGAAGCTGGGTGCATTCTGGCCAATGGGACGCAGTCCAAATGGTTGGAGGGACCTATTTATGCCCATGCACGTGACCCAGAGCTTTCTCTTTCGGCGTGTGCATTCAGAACACCCACCCACCTCTCCCTACTTTTAGGGCTTTGTGCTTGACCTTGCTATGCTGTTGTGTGTCATCTGTCATTAGGACAGGGGCACAGCAGGAATTTTCCCCACTTGGCTGATTGACTGTTGCCATTTGGGTTTCGCCTGCTGCGTAGCAAATCGTCACAACTTGTAAGGTTGCGGATAGGCTCTGGTTCAGGTGATAGGGATGGGAGAACGCTCTTGCCATCCCTGTGTGAAGGGTATTCCATTAAAGGAATCCAGGGACTCGATGGTTTGGTCAACCCCTGAGAGGGGGTTGTGCCTGGGACACTTGGATGGCAGAGACAGCTTTTTCCCGGCTTTCCGCTTATCCAGGTGTTCACCCTTGGCTGACCTATGCTGGAACCCTGGGTCAGCGCTACCTACAAGGGTGAAGGGAGCTAGGAGAACCAGAGCCTATGCAACCATTCACTTTCTGTAATCAATAAAGTTGTGGCCTAAATTGTGCCAAAAACCAAAACCAAAAATTTTGAGTCAAGTGTGAATTTATTTAGGGGGGAGTTTTCTGGGTATGAACACGCAAATACCTCTGTGTGGGCCAAGGGCACTTTTTAGTGTAAAACACCACTGCATCCCAGTTCTCTGATGCGTATCCCCTGAAGGCTGAGTGGGAAAGTGCATCCTTTGCATCCAGAAGGCTAAAAGTTCGATCAACCAGCATATTGAGGCAGTCATGGGAATAGCAGAGCAATGGCAAATTGAGAATTTCTCTCCATGATACTCTCAGCCACGCCCTCTCACAGCCACACCCTCTTCCAAGATTATACAACCTTCTACTATCATATAACAATCTTATAATTATACAATAATAATAATTAGGAATGCATTGCACTTGAGAGAGGCCCGCCACCAGGCCTGCCTGCCACTGGCCAATTTGCAGGCATGCTTGGATCTATGCAGTGCTTTTTTTTCTTAAAAAAATGTTTAGGAGTACTCTCATTTTGACTCAAGAAAAACCACAATTTTATAGTTCAAATCAGGAAAAATAAATACAGTGAATGGACCAAAGTACAAAGATTCACAAAATGTTTAGTGGTATGTGTACTCCTGCGTCCCCCCAGAACAAAAGCAGTGGATTTATGTCTCCAGTCAGCAAGGCAACAATCTACGCATCCCCACTGGCTGGGCAGTTCCTGCACCTGGAAAGCCGTGCTTGGGAGATGGCAGTGCTGGACTTCAATGCCAGACCCTCCAAGTGTCCCTGTTTTCCAGAGACGTCCCTGATTTAGAGAAGCCGTCCCAGTTTCTGATTTGATCCTGGAATGTCCCACTTTTCATAGGATGTCCCTATGAGTTATCCGACCCCTGAGCCGTCTGAAGGCAATCATGTATAGGGAAGACTTTTTAAACGTTTTATTATATTTTTATATATGTTGGAAGCTGCCCAGAGTGGGTGGGGCAACCCAGTAAGATGTGTGGTGTATAAACAGTAAATTTATCATTATAGAATGGGATGTCCCTATTTTCATCAGAAAAATGTTGGAGAGTATGCAATGCAGCTGCACCAGGATGGTAAGTGAACTTATCACATTTTTGCATTCTGGCACAACAAAGGTAGGACCAAAACAAACAAACAAACAAACAAGGAGAATGAAATGTTTCAGATTTTCAGCAGGAAGTTATGGGACAGTCACTGATTGGAAGCAAAACAGTGTGACTGCCCTGAAACCTTTGCAGGCACAAACAGTATTGATAGCAGGATGACACATAACCACCATGATAGCATCATGAAAACAATTATGAATACCCAGTAAAACGGATGTGTTGAAGGTCCCCTAGTTACTGCATTCCAGGCATTTGGTCTTAGGTGTAAAGTATTCACCCCACCCCAGTTTCTAACGCTTTGTGCTGTCTCCCTGTGTAGAATGGCGTCCTGCCCCCTGCTCCCAAGATGAGTATGGTTTGCTTTGGCTGGTTGGTGAGAAGCTATCTGTGGAAAGCTACGGAGTGTAGCCAGTGGTCTATATTTGTCCTGAATCAATATTGCTGTGCAAGTAGGAATCCAGGATCAACAGGAATTCATGGAAAGTTTTGCTCTATCCCTTGCAGCTTACAGCTTGGTGCTCTCCAGAAAACACTTTTGTCTTTCTAATCTGCGGGTCCAGAATAAAGCAAAGTGGTGAAAAAGAAAAGACAAGAAAAAGAGGGAAAGTCTGAAATCATATAAGTATTTTTGGGAATGGAATTATTTCCTTGGCCCTGATGGTAATCTTTATTGAATGTTTTCCCATTTCTAGTCAAACCTAGGTGAAAGCCAGGACACAGCTGCTACCAAATGGCTCCAAAAATGTTGTGGATGATTTTCGAGCATAAAACTCTAAAGGTAGCAAGCAGCGCGGAGGCGCATACTACACTGAAGAGCAGAGACCAGCCAAATGTTTTTTTGCACTCTCTTTCACAAAGACTGCCACCCATCCATAAATGTTGATAATTAGGAAGCTTTGTTCATAAACACTTGCTATGTTAAGAGGAGACTGTTCACATTTCCACATATCCCAAGCAACAAGACAACATTTCATGAATTTGAGATGATGCATTTGCCACTTTTTGGGACGTGGGTGGCTACTACTACTTCTAGGGATGCGGGTGGCGCTGTGGGTTAAACCACAGAGCCTAGGACTTGCCAATCAGAAGGTCGGTGGTTCGATTCCCTGTGACGGGATGAGCTCCCGTTGCTTGGTCCCAGCTCCTGCCAACCTAGCAGTTCGAAATCACGTCAAAGTGCAAGTAGATAAATAGGTACCGCTCCGGCAGGAAAGTAAACGGCATTTCCGTGCGCTGCTCTGGTTCACCAAAAGAGGCTTAGTCATGCTGGCCACATGACCTGAAAGCTGTACGCCGGCTCCCTCGGCCAATAAAGCGAGATGAGCGCCGCAACCCCAGAGTCAGTCACGATTGGACCTAATGGTCAGGGGTCCCTTTACCTTTTATTTGCCACTTTAGGAGTATGAACATAGTGACCCGTTTTCCATAACAGATACCCAATGCCTTATCCCAGCAAGAATATGTGAAAGCACCAAATTGGAGGATGGTACAAACCCACTGAGGTTAAGGATATCAATGACTACTAGCTCTGCCTCAACTGTTTGAGGTGGTAATGCTTTTGAATAGCAGTTCCTGGAAACCACAGGAAGGGAGAGGACTCTTGCACTCGGGTCCTACTTCAGGGTTTCCCAGACCTAGTTGGACTGTTGGCCTGATCCAGCCATGCTCTTCCATCCCCCAATTCTAACCAGTATTTCAGAGACCATGAATTCAACAGAAGGACTCTTGTTGTAGGGCATTATAATAACTCAGTCGGTAGAGCATGAGATTCTTGATTTCAGGATTATGGGTTTGAGGCCCACGTTGGGCAAAAGATTTCTGCATTGCAGTGGATTGGACTAGATGACCCTCATGGTTCCTCCCAACTCTACAGTTCTATGATTCAATGAAATACAGTTCTTGTTTAAACTTGAAACATCATTTCTGAGACATTGCAAATTGTGGACAAGATGGACTGTTTCAGGAAGTGGCAGAGAGATATTTCTAGATTTGTCTGGCAGGGCAAGAAGCCCAGAATAAAATTTAAGATATTAACTGATGCAAAGGAAAGAGGTGGATTTGCCCTGCCAGACTTTAAACTTTATTATGAATCAGCAGCTTTTTGCTGGTTGAAAGAATGGCTACTTCTTGAAAATACAGACATTTTGGACTTAGAAGGTTTTAACAACGTATTCGGATGGCATGCATATTTATGGTATGATAAGGTCAAAGCACATAAAGCATTTAAAAATCATATTGTCAGGAAAGCATTGTTTAATGTTTGGACAAGATACAAGGATTTATTGGAAAATAAAACTCCAAGGTGGTTGTCACCAATGGAAGCGAAAGCTCTGAAAAGGCTCAATATGGAGGCCAAATGGCCGAAATATTGGGAAATTTTGGAACAAGAAGGAGACAAATTGAAATTGCAGAGTTTCGAGAAATTAAAAATTAGAGTGAGAGATTGGCTTCATTATTACCAGATAATGGAGGCATATAATCTGGATAAGAAAATTGGCTTCCAGGTGGAAAAATCAAAATTAGAAACAGAACTGTTAGAACCCAAAACTAAAAATTTGTCAAGAATGTATAACTTGCTGTTGAAATGGAATACTCAGGATGAAACGGTGAAATCTGCTATGATTAAATGGGCACAAGATGTTGGACACAATATTATGTTTGCTGACTGGGAACAGTTATGGACCACAGGTATGAAGTTTACGGCATGTAATGCCTTAAGAGAGAATATTATGAAAATGATATACAGGTGGTACATGACCCCAGTCAAGCTTGCAAAAATCTATCATTTGCCCGATAATAAATGTTGGAAATGTAAAGAAACTGAAGGCACATTCTTTCACCTTTGGTGGACGTGCCCAAGGATTAAGGCTTTCTGGGAGATGATTTATAATGAAATAAAAAGGTATTTAAATACACCTTTCTGAAGAACCCAGAGGCCTTTCTTCTGGGCATTGTCGGCCAATTGGTGCCAAAGAAGGATAGAACTTTTTTTATGTATGCCACAACAGCAGCAAGAATACTCATTGCAAAGTATTGGAAGACACAAGATCTACCCACTCTGGAAGAATGGCAGATGAAGGTGATTGACTACATGGAATTGGCGGAAATGACTGGCAGAATTCGAGACCAGGGAGAAGAGTCAGTGAAAGAAGACTGGAAGAAATTTAAAGATTATTTACAGAAATATTGTAAAATTAAGGAATTTTAGAAGGATGTTGGATAGAAATTAAGTGGTTTCCAGCTGTAATGTTTTAAGAGATACGAAAAAAGGCTTACAAATGGGTAAAAGCTTAATGGTAAGGATTTGCTGAACTAACAAATTGAACTGGAATACAAAAAAGGGAGGTACGAGGAGGTCCGGGGAAATAAGTGCAAGGAAGATAGGTTATGGAAAATTAACGTGTTTTTAACTGTTTTATTTTGTATGCTTCTTTTTATTTTTTACTTTTTTGTTATATCTTAAAAACTTTATACTTTTTTTCTGTATTCTGTATTTTCCTGTATTTTTTTAAACTTTAATAAATATCATTTAAAAAAAAAAGAAACATCATTTCTGACAGAAAATGTGCCTGTAATAGTGAGAGTTTCAAGCTTTATTCCTCATTGCATTTTTGTTAATAAAAATACTCTCGCCCCCACTCCATTGTGCCTCATCATTAATCTACACTTAGTCCAGGGAATAAGTTGTCATAGGAACCCAGGTGTCACGAGTCCTTGCTGCGGATCTGACGTATAAAGAATCCTTGAATTCTCAGGTGTCGCAGGCAGGAAAAGAGCAAGGTTAAAAAACACCAGATTGCATCTTGTTGCTCAGCACCCAATTTAGAATCAATTGTAGAGCTGGAAGGCACCTCAAGGACCATCTATTCCAACCTGCCCCCCCCCCCCCGCGCAATGCAGGAGTCACCACTAAAATTACTGATTCTATCACAGAAGGAATAGCTGGTTCCCATTGAAATCAAAAGCACAAGCCCATTGACTGCATGCTTTCTCCCATAAGACCCACAACTAGCAACCAACTCTTTGGATGGGGCTCTCCTCCAGGTTTCTTTTTTTGGTAAAGTTCTTTTATTTCGTTTTATAATATATATGAAACTGAGAGAACCATTATAATGACAGATGAAAATTAAAAAGATGAAAAACAAAACTATAAAACAGGCACTTGCAATGAGTACAGTGGTACCTCAGGTTACGTACGCTTCAGGTTACAGACTCCTCTAGCCCAGAAATAGTGCTTCAGGTTAAGAACTTTGCTTCAGGATGAGAACAGAAATCGTGCTCCAGCAGTGCGGCAGCAGCAGGAGGCCCCATTAGCTAAAGTGGTGCTTCAGGTTAAGAACAGTTTCAGGTTAAGTACGGACCTCCGGAACAAATCAAGTATTTAACCTGAGGTACCACTGTACAGTTGCACCTGCGTTAAAACCACTCCATGTTTCATTAAAAATGAAACAAGATTTAATTTTGACTGACTGCTGTTGCTTTCCTCTTGCTGCATATTTTAGTACAGTGGTACCTCAGGTTAATAACTTAATTCGTTCTGAAGGTCTGTTCTTAACCTGAAACTGTTCTTAACCTGAGGTACCACTTTAGCTAATGGGGCCTCCCGCTGCTGCTGCGCCGCTGGAGCATGATTTCTGTTCTCATCCTGAAGCACAGTTCTTAACCCGAGGTACTATTTCTGGGTTAGCGGAGTCTGTAACCTGAAGTGTATGTAACCTGAAGTGTATGTAACCCGAGGTACCACTGTATTCTTAATCATTTCTATTATATTTCTTATTTCTTATTATTGATTGGATTTTATTGTAGTTGTTTTTTAAATTAAATCTGGAAAACTACTTTGTGAACACATTGTGTGGAAGGGCTGAGAAAAATTAATGTCTATCTCTCTATCATCTATCCATCTTTTCATCAGAAAAGATGACAAAATGCAGCATTTAACTCATTAAGGTGAAAAGGGGGCTGCGGAAAAACATTATTGTTTAATATGAAAGACTGGTGGAAATTATTGGAGATAAAATTGATACATTTGATTAGAGAAAAACTATTGTTGAAATATATTAATAACAATAATTAGAGAACCCCTTTTGAACGTTAAAAGGAAAATGAATTAATCTGACTCACTTTTTCAGATGCACTTGATCAGAGAAAAACTAGTGTTGAATTTTAATAATAAGAATAAGAGAACCTCTTTTGAATTATTTGTGTAAAAAGGAAAATGAATTAATCTGAGTCATTTAGGTTGGATGATTGGGAAAATATTGCCTAACAGAAAGTAGATCAGTTGGCTATCATTCTAGACTAGAGTGAATATTTTGAATAATTTCTTTTCTGTAACAGTCAGACGAAAAATCAGAAGTCCTTTCTATTTTTCCTCATTTCCTCGCTTTTCTATCTTTTAGTTTCCCTTTGCTGTTTTCTCTTTATGTTTTCGTTTTTATTTCGATTAGTTATTTTTAAATTTTATTGTATTATGAAAAATTTATAAGAAAATCTTATGTCAGGGAACTGACATCGGAGCTAGAGGTGGAGGCAAGGCTCCCAAGCGATGCTGGAGAAGGGCCCAGCAGGGGGAGAGGCAGCTCATCAGCTGGGGAGGGAAATCAGCGTAACACCAGGGAAATGGGGGAATCGGCGAGGGGGCTCCAGGACTCCTCGCCGGAGACCAGCGAGGAGAGTACGGGTCCTCCGCTACCCACACCCTCCCTGCGCAGAAGACTTCCGCGCAGGGAGAGTAGGAGGAGACTTGGCGTCAAACAGCTTTTATGCTGGAAAAGGTTTAAGAAACGCCCACTGACGGATTCTGCTAGCGACTGAAACAGCCACGAAGTGAAGGGCTGTCCAGACAGAAAAGGTTTAACAAGGCAACCTAGCCAGGAGTGGCGGCAACTTACGCACGAGCAACCCCTATATTTATAACAGCAATCCGTCAGTCGCTGACATTGCTTGTGCGCAGCGACAGGCAGGCAGCATAATGAGCCAAATCGGAGAAGCCGGCGCCACGGAGGGAGCAACTGGAGTGCAAAATCTGGTGGAGAGGAACCAAGATTTGGAACCAAGATGTGGCTCTTCTGACGGCGTGGTTGGAAGAAAGGCGGGCTCACGATGCACAGGTCAGACCCACCCCCGTAGCAAGGAAGGTACTGGGAATGGTACACAAGTTTGGGGGGAAGCCCCAGGACTACAACGCGTTCCGAACAGAAATAGAGTACGCTTTGGAACTGCAGCATAAGGATTTTGCGGACGATGGGGATAGGGTGGCCTATATTGTCGGGCATCTGCAGGATGGGGCCAGGGAATGGATCAGGCCCCTAATGGCAACGCAGAATGCTGCCTTGAAAGACCTGAGGAAATTCTTCCAGGCGATGGATGCAATGTATTCCAGTGATGTGCAGCAAAGTGTGACTCGGCGGGAACTGATGGGTTGTAAACAGGGGAACCAGTCAGTTAGAGACTACTGGTCACGCTTTGCAATGTTAGTCCACCGACTCAGGTGGGAATTGGACTCTGAACCCATTCAGATGTTGTTTGAGGAGGGGTTGTCCCCAACGGTGAAGGACGAGCTTTCCCACGCGCCACGCCCGCAGTCGATGGGTCAGCTGACCAAGGCTGTGCTTGCGATTGGCGTAAGACAGGAAGCGCGGGCTCAGGAGACGCGCAAAGGGAGAGGGGAACGTTGCCATGACTACCGCATTCCTGAAATACCGAGGCAGCCTTCCCCGCCGGCGGAGCCAATGGAAATAGATGGCACGCGTGCGCGGGAGGTTTCAAACTCCAGTGAAGGTCGCAAGAGGGAGGGAAAGGATTGGAAAACCA